GACAAACAACATTCTTGTTAAAATGTACATAATTGATATAAGGTAGTATGACATGACATGACATGACATGACATGATGTGACATGACATAAAATGACATAGTGTAACTTCAAAGGGGAAGCAAGTAAAATAAAATTTTCCTTTCAGCAGCTGATATAAGAAAGGATTTAGAGCTAGATTTTTTCTTACTTTAAGTTTGTTTATTTTTTGAGAGAGAGAGAGATCATGAGCTGGGGAGAGGCAGAGAGAGAGAGAGAGAGAGAGAGAGAGAGAGAATACCAAGCAGCTCAGAGCCCCATGTGGAGCTCGAACCCATGAACCATGCGATCATGACCAGAACTGAAATTAAGAGTCGGACTCAGTTTAAGTGACTGAGACACCCAGGTACCCCAAGCCATATCATTTCTTTAACCAAAAAAATATTTATTATATTCATATATAACATATTATAATATGTAATGTATAGTTACATTATAAATGCATTTATATTTAAATATATATTTGAATAATTATTTATATTATATAATTACCTGTGTAAAATATTATAAATAATATTTACATATATGATATATTTATATGTAAAAATAATAATCAAAGAAACAGGGCTAATGGGATGGAATATAATGAATTATATTCAATTTGTTGTTTGAAGCTGGAGTTATAGTAAAACAAGAAGCTTTTATGCTAGTAACTAAGATGCATTCATAACAGATACATGTATGTGAATGGCTATGTTATGTATGTGTAAGTGCAGGATATTTTTATAATCAGATGTGTTATGTGTTTTTAGCCCACTGCTACCAGGGGCATTTCTCATTTATACATTTTTAAGATAGAGCCTTTAGTAAATCAAAGTGAAACTTTTTTAGAAATTTGTGTAAGAACATAGCTTTTGGTTGGACTTTGAAGGAAAAATACCCACACACACACATACACACACATATATATAACACACTCAATATCCGTATATTATTTTGGTGAATTAATATTTATATTAATTAGTTTGTTTTCTTATAGAAATTCAAGTACTAGAATCCAGGAAATGTATATTGACTTCACCACTAGTATTTGAAGATGGGCCAGGTATCAGCTATTCTTTAATTTTTTCTAGAATTCTCTTTCTTTTATTCTTTCCTCCCTCTCTTCCTCTTTTTCTCTTCCCTTCTTCTTTCCCTGTGTACCACTGTCTTTTTCTGCCTTTCCATCTCTGTTTCTGTTGCCTCTTTTCTTTCTCCAACACATATTTAAGCTCCTCATTGACCTGGAATATTGGTTTGATCAACTTGACCTTACTTTTTTTTTTTATAATGTATTCAAAAATATAAATAACACATGGGAGAGGTTTGATACACACTAGATAGATACTCTGACCTATATGTATATATAACAACTTATATATACATATCAATTCTCTCATATACTTTGATTTTTAATAAAATCCATTCATGGTTTTAATATGAAATCTCAGAGTAAAAGAATGTGAGAGTATATTATTTTGTAGAAATATTTTAATATTTCCTAACAATCAGTGTGTGTCCTAGCGAAGTTAATAAGGATTTTTATAATGTTTGCAATTCACTTAGACATACATTTGTATTGAATTGAGTATGATAAAGGCCAAGAAACAAATGTTGATTGGTAAGGTTTTAGGCAGTGAGTGTGCAGTGTGCTTTTGCTCTGTCTCATACATTTAATCCTCACATAATTACTTAATAAAGTATCATTAATACAAATTTACTGAAAAAAACCCTGAAATTTAGTGAAATTAGTGAAATCAAGCAATTTACCTCAATCCTTATTAATCAAGTCAGCCATTTACCTATACAAATTGTTTATCATAATATATAAGGTTTTTCAGGGAAAAAAATCTCATTTAAAGAAATAACCTGTAATCTCAAGTACTTGCAGATTAGTCGACAGGGCAGAAAAATAATAAAAAATTCAAAAGTTATGGATGTAATGATAGGAGCATTAAAAGGTACCAAAGAAGGAAGTTTGTTCAATTATTTTGAAAGGGGTTAGGGAATACTTTTTGGACAATATAAATTTGAGATTTATTTTTAACACTGAAGAGAAGTTCATGAGGTATGTAAGAAAGAGGGATATTTCTGGAGAAAGCACAAGAAAAAGTTGTAAGCATTGATAAGGGTTAAATTAGCCCTTATGCTTAGCGTACACATTTGAATTTCCTTTGAAGCATATGGGTAGAGATATCTATGATCTATGGGTCAGCTGAATATATATTCAGAAAAGGTATGTGGGTTGGATATGGAAATTTGGGAGTTAACTAAAGCCTTGAGAGTACTCAAGTTGTCCATAAATTTTATATAAATCAGAAGAGAAGAAGATAAGTAAATCAATTTGAACTAGAGAAGCCATGGCTTTTGTTCAAAGCCACCTTTAGATTTCTAAGGGATAGGATGCATGTAGGGTGTTATAATTCTTTAAAATGGAGAAAAAATGAAAGACACTGTTGACAAAAATATTAAAAGAGGACATAGAGATTTTTTTCTTCAGTGTGGATGTGCACCATTTAGATCAGAGTCAAATAGGTAAATGTGTAAAAAAATATAACTTGGCACTCATCCTAGATACAATAAATTTCTAGTAGTGGGGTCAAGTAATTTCACAGACTACAGTGACATTTTCTTTGTGAATGAGTTGAAAGGAAGGATTTGCAGAAGATATCCTGAAGAGATACATTTTGATGAACTACAGATTTAGAATAATTAAAAAGCTATTTCTTAGACAAAAATCTTATATTTTTGATTAGCTTTATGGAGGTGAAAACTACCTAGAATAAAATTTACCTGTTTTAATAGTACAGTATGATGATATATATATATATATATATATATATATATATATA